AGAATGTCCGATTATACAGTCTCATAACATACTGTGCCCAGTGCCGGATTAAGCCAGCGCGGGGCCTGTAGCAAATTTCTATCAAGGGGCCCTTGTATTCTGTGCCCTTGGTTTGCTTTAGGTTCTCAAGTTTAGGGTATTAAATGAAACAAAACTGTTACAAATGAACTTTTCTTCATTTAATGTGGGAAAATTTAGAGATAACACTTTCAATATCAACTTCTTTAAGCAAATCATGCTCTATATTCAACAAAGTAAGATGATTAAGACGTTCTTGTCCCATCGTGTTCTTTGATTCATTTTTAATACGTTTTAATGTTGAAAAAGAACGTTCGCCACTGCAGTTAGTGATCATGAGAGACATGTAAATGCGCAAGGCAATTTCTAAGTTTGGAAAACACAATTCTAAAGAATTATTTATTAAAAGTTTTTTAAAATGATTAGTTTTTCAAAAGTTGTTTGTAAAATGATCTTTTGTCATACGTTTTTTGTTAAATAATAGTAAACCTCATTTTTTAATTAACCGCTTTTTTACTTGAGACTCTAAAACACCTTGCTCTTAATCTACCGTCACTAGCTTTCAATAATCTCGAAACATGATCGATATAATAATCGATTAAAAAGGTTAGCTATATTCACTCATAAAATGAATCTATATTTTATAACAAATCAACCAACTATAGTAGATTGGATCGTGACTGAATTAATAAATTTTAANATTAAAAACTTAAATCCCTGTAATTTTGCGATAAATGGGTCAAGCCCCAAATTTGAACTACTTTTATCGATAAAATTATCCCTAGTTTTCCCCCTTAAAGTTTGATCACTACAAGCCCGGACACACTGTATATTTGGTCTTATTTAATGCAGGATTAAATGCCCTTCAACCGTCAGAAAGACCACTTTTCGATAGGGTAAGTCATTTACGCAGTATAACCGGAAAACCGAAAAAGCGCCCCTTTCGGGGGCCCCCACCACTTAAGCACAACTCTGTCGAAGTCGAAAACCTAGGAGAGTCTTTATGGGCAAGTAATGAAGCCATTAAAGCACTAAAATCTTTAGTAGGAATTGTTTCAGATTTAATTCATTTTTGTGTTTAATTCTACTGGCCTATTAGAGAACATTCCGGTTAAAAAGTTCGTAAAATACCTACTTACTTATTTTTATGATTTAACGTGATGATATCGAGTTTTAGATTTTCAAGTGAAAGTAAAGCATATCCTAATGCAAAATATTTTACGCTCCTATCTAAATTAATCTTTTTTTATTTCGGTCAGACAGGCTTTGGAGCGCGGGGCCCCCAAATTCGCGGGGCCCGTAGCATTTGCTACTCTTGCTACGTGGCTAATCCGGCACTGACTGTGCCCCGGGACAAACTTGACCTTCATTGGTTGGGTTTTTGTGGCGGTCAAGCTGTAGATCCTGGCTACACAGGAGTTGCATGGTGGGAACGAGAGGTGGGAATAGTCCCGTTAGCCTTCATCACTGAAGAAGCTTCGGCGTTTCGTTCAATGGAATCTTTGAAGAAGTTTATACAGGGTGGAATTTTGTAATGCCACCTGAAGGGAAAGTACCCTTAATACTGTAAATAGAATATTTTACTCAAAGAAAACATTCCTTCATTTTTTAAAAGAAAAAGAACTGCATTTAAAGATTTCCGAAATTCCACCCTGTAGAAGTTCGAAGAGCGTGTCCACACTCTCGTGCAACCTCCGCGCGCACCAGGCAAGGCAACATGTCATTGTGGTGGTAACATGGTATTCAAGTAGCGGTTGCCATTGCAATTTGCACTCGGACAAAATTCTAGAAATTCGGGCGAGGCGAGAGACAGTATTGTAGGTACTATCCGTTCGCTTAAAGTTTGCCGCTGGCGATATCACGTCACTCGAAGGGTAGCGTCTATAACTTTAAGAAACTATATTTAAAATATTTTTTATTTTATTATTATTGACAAAAATTGTGTATTTGGGTATAATAAGACACATTAATTGCGTTTAATCACTTACTAATTGCGTTTAATCGCGGTTAGACGAGGGGACGCGCATTCCACGGACCGGCAAACTTAGCGCGAACGGGTTGTATTATAATTATGTAGTGCCGTAGTGCGCACAATTCGATCTTTCACTAAATCACTGAACCGATTTCGATGAATTTGTATACCAATACATATTTACATACTTACCAATTTATTGAGATGACCCAGGAAAGGATACGTGTGGAGCATGGACCTATGTGGAGAATATAGGATAGTTTTTATGCCGGTTTGAGCCATACCATTGTTTGCGGTAATAATACTGTTCAGACATAAGCGGTATTTGCTACCGTCTGCGGCAGAAAAAACCCAGTGGGTATACGCTCAGGTCGCTCTAGCCGCGGTACTTGATACTAAATACCCGAGCTAAACCCGCGCGGTTGTACCTCTACCCACAGCGGCAGCGAATATCGCTCAGGTTTGAATAGGCCTTAAGCTATACAGGGTGGAAACGATAAGTGATCTCACTCGATTATTTCTAAACTATACAAGATATCGAAAAAATGGTTATTGAACCTAAAAGTGCTTCACGAGCTCTTTCAAACGGTATCAGTAATAGGTTACAGAATTAACTGGATCTATCCGAAAATNTACATGGGGGTGATTTAGGTACACCTTGATGTAAGGAATCTAAATTTTTCTTTTAGATCTCACTGTTTTGGCCACCCTGTATATTTTTTAGCGGCAATGGGAATAAATAAACCCATGTTTGTAGTACCTACTCATTAAACTATGGTGCGGGTATCGAACCTGCGACCTTTGGCTTAGTAGTCCGGTACGCAAAACGGCAGATAAATTAGGAATCAAAGTTAAAAATAGAAACTTACCTAGCCTTCATCACTGAAGAAGCTTCGGCGTTTCGTTCAATGGAATCTTTGAAGAAGTTTATAGAAGTTTGAAGAGCGTGTCCACACTCTCGTGCAACCTCCGCGCGCACCAGGCAAGGCAACATGTCATTGTGGTGGCAACATGGTATTCAAGTGGCGGTTGCCATTGCAATTTGCACTGGGACAAAATTCTAGAAATTCGGGCGAGGCGAGAGACAGTATTTTAGGTACTATCCGTTCGCTTAAAGTTTGCCGCTGGCGATATCACGTCACTCGAAGGGTAGCGTCTATAACTTTAACAAACTATATTTAAAATATTTTTTATTTTATTATTATTGACAAAAATTGTGTATTTGGGTGTAATAAGACACATTAATTGCGTTTAATCACTTACTAATTGGGGACGCGCATTCCACGGACCGGCAAACTTAGCGCGAACGGGTTGTATTATGTAGTGCGCACAATTCGATCTTTCACTAAATCACTGAACCGATTTTGATGAATTTGTATACCAATACATACATACCAATTTATTGAGATGACCCAGGAAAGGATACGTGTGGAGAATATAGGATAGTTTTTATGCCGGTTTGTGAGTCATTAAAAAAAAATTGTAAATAATATAAATTACTATAAGTCCCATAAAGGCCTATTCAGACCTAAGCGGTATTCGCTACCGTCTGCGGCAGAGAAAACACAGTGGGTATGCGGTAATAATACTGTTCAGACCTAAGCGGTATTTGCTACCGTCTGCGGCAGAGAAAACCCAGTGGGTATGCGCTCAGGTCGCTCTAGCCGCGGTACTTGATACTAAAAAATACCTGAGCTAAACCCGCGCGGTATGTACCTCTACCCACAGCGGCAGCGAATATCGCTCAGGTTTGAATAGGCCTTAAGCAATATAATAATATGCTTGTTACGAGCGTCACGACAAGTGGGTTCGCCCCACTATAGTTAGTTCAAGTGCGGGGATCGATCCCGCGTTCCTCGGACAACAAAAAAAACAACCTTTCCACATAATTATATCTATGCTAATATTATAAATGCGAAAGTAACTCTAGTCTGTCTTGCTTTCACGCCTAAACCACTGAACCGATTTTGATGAAATTTGGCATATTTTATTAATAGTACGAGTCCCGGGAGAGGACAGGATAGTTTTTATCCCGGTTTTTGAAACAGGGACAGGGATTTTTCTATGACAGACAAAATTCCACGCGGGCGGAAAGCTAGATTTGTTATAAAAAGTTACATGGCAGTCCCAAAGTTTGTGTTGTAAAAGAGTTGTTGTTTTATGAAGGCAGTCCCAAAGTTTGTTGTAAGAGTTGTTATTTTATGAATTTGTTATGTTAACAGAGCGCGTAATTGTTTTCTACTCTCCTATCTTACGATTAGTAGAACTGGGGTATTAGGTAATCTGTTCAATGCTCGTATAACTAATACGGGTGTAATAAACGTGTAATTTGTCTGATTTGCAATATCCATTGTAAAAAATCTAGCTATGGTTAAGTAACTATGCACTAACGAAATCTGCGTATTATATTATCTGTGGTATTGTGATAGCAGTATCGATCGGCGGCTGGCTTGGTGGAGTAAACGCCCGTCAGTCTGGCGAGAGGCGTCACCCCCCCTGCCCTGCCGCCGTCTAGCCAACCCACCCCCGTGTCTAGCTAGCTAGGCTGTACTAAAGATCGATTAATATCTGTTTGATAGGCTAATGCACTTCATGTTAGCGCGGTACCATATTGGTTTAATTGTTCCATAAAAAGCCTCAAGAAATAGGAACCTTAATTCAAACTCCTCAAAAGTCGCTAAAATGTTTTGAAACAAAATTTATTCCAAAAATATAAATAATTCGAAATGAACAGAAAAACCATGTAGAAAACATTGTTCAAAATTAAAATGCAAAAGCAATGGATATTATGGATACAGGATACAGTAAGGACCTGTCAAAAGAAAGTAATAACTTATTGAGGAAATTTTGATTTATTATTTCCACATAGTTGTGTCCATAGTGCGTTTCAACAGGCTCAGTAGGTAGATCTTCTGTAAAACAAAATTTACACAATTCAATACAATAATTCAGAAAAATTAAGGTTCCGATCGGGAGTGGAGCGCTACACATCAACATAATAACAATACAATTGGGATATATAATTATATTTATTTACCGTATTACAAAAACAGTTACCATATTATGTACAACTGGAAAAAGAGTTACAATACATTGTTTCCGTCTAGTACTTTTGTGATTGAAATAGCCTCTCCAGTACCCGATGAGACCTCTCTGCAAGCGGCAGAGAGGCCTACGCGGAACGGGGGCCATCCGGCCGGGCCGGTCTTATTCCTACCTATGTATATTAAACTTATATTGATACGTCTATTATAGTATAATGTATTCATTAATTAAACTAAAACAAAATATATCGGTCCAAATTAAAGGAGTTCCAATAAAAAAAGTCGGCACAGCAGTAATTAGGAGATTCCTCCTAATACTCACACCTTATCAATATCGCAATAGAACGCAGGACACAAAGTATAAACGGGAAAAGCGCTGACACCTCAGATGAGGTTGGCCACATCACTGGGCATTTCCGTGATAGTAGTGTGGTAAAAGTCCTCAATATCCTTCAGTGCTCGCTTGTCAGCTTCAGTAACAAAGTTGATAGCAATTCCCTTACGACCGAAACGGCCACCTCTGCCAATTCTGGAATAGAACAAAAATTTTTTCAATCAAACCATAAATGAATAAAACATTTGAAAAGAGCATGGTAGATTCTAATAAAATAGATTATAAGCTTAGACAATGCTTACCGATGAATGTAATTTTCACGGTTTGTAGGCAGATCATAGTTGATGACACAAGAAACTTGTTGAACATCAATGCCTCGAGCCAGCAAGTCAGTGGTAATGAGAACACGAGAGGATCCTGTACGGAACTGTCTCATGATCACCTCGCGCTCACGCTGGTCCATATCACCGTGCATAGCAGACACAGTGAAGTCACGCACTTGCATGGACTCAGTCAGCCAGTCGACCTAAAAAAGATTAGCATTAAATTACAAATTGCTTTAATTTTCATTAATTAACTAGGTATAAAGAGTAATGTAGTGTTACTTAGTACTTTTGGACAGTACTCAATACTTTGAACATTCAATGAGGTGAAACTAGAAGTATAATATTATTGTTTTTATTACCTTGCGGCGAGTATTGCAGAAGATTACAGCTTGAGCAATGGAGAGTGTGTCATACAAGTCACACAGGGTGTCCAGTTTCCATTCCTCCACCTCAATGGCGATGAAAAATTGTTTAATACCTTCCAGGGTAAGCTGTAATCAAACAAAACAGTCGTAAATAAATTGTGAAATTAACTGATTACCAAAAAAAATTGAGTAAATTAAGAAAAAGTGTAATTACCTCTTCCTTCTGCACAAGAATGCGCACCGGATCCCTCATAAAACAGCGGGAGACTTCTAAAACATCATCAGGCATAGTAGCAGACAACAGAATGACCTGTACATCAGCTGACAACATCTTGAACACATCGTGAATTTGATCTTTGAATCTGAAAAGCAATAATAAATGTCATTAAACAATAGCATTGACTTTAAAAAATACCATGCTTAAACATGAATGAAAGCTAATACATTTGAATGCTTCAAGGGACCACAATATTAATTGCCTCAACTTTTGGTGTTAATGAATTCAAGCTTCCACTTTTCAATGAGTACGTAAAGAAGGTTTGAAGTAAAAAATAACATGTTTGAGTGACTCACCCTCTAGACAACATTTCGTCAGCCTCATCAAGAACAAAGAGCTTGATAGTGTTAGCACGAAGAGCGCGGCGGGTGATCATGTCGTACACGCGGCCAGGGGTTCCCACCACCACATGAACCCCACTCTCCAGCTGGCGCATATCTTCGCGCACATTCGTGCCACCAATACACGCATGGCATTTAGCATTCAGATGGTCACCAAGGGCTATCACGACCTAAAATATAAAAGCAAAATTAATCACCACTCAATATACAAAAGATTTCTATGTTTGCACTACTACACTAACAAATGCATGGTATTTTTTACACTGAAACATACCTTTTGAATCTGTTGAGCCAACTCTCTGGTTGGGGCCAAGATTAGAGCTTGGCATTCACGGATACTTGTGTCAATTTGTTGAAGAATTGAAATAGAGAATGTCGCAGTTTTGCCAGTTCCAGACTGGGCTTGGGCTATAACATCGCGTCCTTGGATGCACGGCATAATGGCGCGTTGTTGAATAGCCGATGGCTTTTCGAAACCATAGGCATAAATTCCTCTCAGCAATTCTTCTTTCAAGTTCATATCGTCGAAGCTCTCCACGACTTGATGCCAGTTCGTATCCAGGGCTCCCTCCAAGCCCGGGGCTGACTCGTAACTCCCTTGATCCTTTGGCCCATTTTTGGAGTCCTCCGGCCAATCTTCTGATCTGTGAATTTAATAGAGCGTTTCATACAACATGAATCATGTCTCATACATGAGTCTTGGAAATCATTATTGGCTTCTGTCAAAGTGATGGTATTATTCATTTCAAGATTTGAGCTAAACGCCGCGAGTTACACCATTTGATTTAACCTCAGTTAATTTCTAAGCTCAAGTTTCAAAATCAATGGTTTTATTACATAGAAAATATAACACGTGCGTTTAGCCGAACATCTAAATTTCTGCCAGCGCCATGTTGGCAATCGGCGACAGATAGGCGAGAGTGAAGTCGGCAAATAAAACAAAAAATATGTAGTATTTAGCCCACCGCTGATTTTCCCCATGAAAATTTACAAATGTTTACATGATCTTTCATAAAACAAGCACTAAATTACCACCAAACTAGACTTACCTTCTTTCAGGTGATGAAAAAGACATGTTCCAATCGCGGTAGCTGAACGGAAAAGAACTGGCAAGGTCAAGTTGAGTTTAGCAAAAGCTTTTTTTATATTGATATATAAAATTGTTACTTAAACAAGGCAATGGATTTTATAAAAATAAACTATATTTTTATACGATTTTTAAAAATGCTTAGAATTTTGTAAGCGTTTTGTATCACAAGAACGTGAGTAATACTAAATTATTGGGAAATCAAACATCGGAAGTACGTCACAATGATTTTTTCGAATTGTAATGTTGGTATTACTAAGGCACGTTTCACCAAAATATCCAAAAGAGCTATTGGCTATTTTTTAAAAGTAGTGCCTAACTATTTATAAGGATGAGCTACATAATAATAATATTTTGTCATGGAAACAGATTGCTTTCTGTCGTCACAAGAGAAAAATTAAATGATTTTGTATGAAATCAATAGAAATTAGAGAANGGAATTATGACACCCCTTCTAGATATATTAGCTTAGTTTTTACTACTTAATGCAATGGGAAACTAAAAATAGTTAAAAACAAAAATAAAATTCGTGCCAAGGAAATTAGGCAAAATTGACCATTTTTGGCGAAATACCCATTGCTTTCTGTCGTCACAAGAGAAAAATTAAATGATTTTGTATGAAATCAATAGAAATTAGAGAAAATGTTTTTTAATGGTAGGTAAACAGGGTGGAATTTTGTAATACCACCTGTAGGCCTAGGATATTTAAGCATTTATCGCGCTATTTTATAGATTTTTCACGATAAGCCCATACGTTTGTCGTCTAAAATCATCGATAAGATTTTATCACGGCGCGCATCCTAGCCCGGCTGGAGGGAAAGTATTTTTAATACTGTGGATAGAACATTTTACTCAAAGAAAACATTTCTTTATTTTTTAAAAAGAAAGAGAACTGCATTCCAAGATAACCGATTTTTTTTTTAAAATTCACCACCATATCGTTGGGGATAGTCCAAGTAGCACTTGTAAATACCGCGTAAGTGGCTCACACCACTTTTTACAGGAGAGACAAAAACTGATTATTTCAACAGTGGCGGCGTAGCATGGGTTGGCACCCGGGGCGGGCACCCCCCCCCCCCCGTCATAAGTCCTAAGGCACCCCCAGGTACCCCCCAGGATTTCGGAGTTACCTACCGATTCATATCATATCGTATTAAGCAAGACATAGACCGCAGATTTGCCATACAGATGTACCAGTGAGTACNTAAGGCACCCCCAGGTACCCCCCAGGATTTCGGAGTTACCTACCGATTCATATCATATCGTATTAAGCAAGACATAGACCGCAGATTTGCCATACAGATGTACCAGTGAGTACTAATCTGCGCGACTTGTGTCACCCCCTGATGCTTGGCACCCGGGGCGGACCGCCCCCACCGCCCCCCCCTTACGCCGCTACTGTATTTCAACATTCACCAAACTAAGTTATGTTCTAACTAGAATTTTAGCATCCTTTGGGTCTTTGCTAATGAAAATGTGGTTATTTTGTTAAAAACTATTCATATTATAGTTTTTAATATTTTTTTATAAAAGCAAACAAATTTCAGTAGATACGCGGAATTGAACATATTTGACTGGAAAATCTTTTTATTTCGTAAATTATTATCATTAAAAAAAACAAAACTACAACAAATTCTCGCAAATTAAATAAAGAACTAGATCAAAAATTCCAAAACACTGCTGTCAGTAAAAATATGACTTTCACTATCGGAAATAGGCCTACGCCAAGGATTTCAATAAAGACGGGTTCTGGGCTGCCCGCATCCAGGTACTTTCCGCCACACTGATTATAATGTATGTGTGTGTGAAGTGATTGGTAAGCAAAGAGTCAAATAATTTTAAAATTTAATGAAATTGTGGTATTCCTGGTTTTTTAAGACTAGGTGCAGACCACCGATTTTTAGTTGGCCGATAGTTGGATCCGATTTTAATTTCTATGAAGAATCAGAAATCAAATCTGTGTAATGTGCGCACTTCCATACATGCTCATACGGCCATACTGATCAACTGCATGACTAAACTATCGGCCGATGAAAAATCGATGGTCTGCGCCTAGGCTAAGAGTAGGCGCAGACCATTGATTTTCAATAATTCAAATGAAAATTTTAGAGGTTACGTTTAAAAAAATAAAAAATTTGCTCAATGTAGTGGTGATGTAGTGCGACTAAAGATCATGATCGTTATAAATTATTGTGACATTCTCAGTGAGTAATATGGGGTAGAATATGGTGTAGTAAATTGTGTTTATAACTTTGTAAGTATAGTTAATTATTATAACTCAGACCTACTTTTGTATAAGTTGTAAACAGAAAGTGGGCTTATTTTACTGTAATTAATTTTAATTTTGTTGTTCTAGGTCAATCTAGGTGTGTCTGAAAGTAACAGTGCGAAGAATAGCAAAGCAAGGTTCCGAAAATAATGAATGACACGATTGTGTGTGTTGATTTTTATATGTTGATTATTGTCTTAAATAGAAGACCGTGGTGCTCAAAAGGTTAATAAAAATAAGTTATGAGTACAATAGCTGTTTTAATGCTAGTCTACCTACATACTACTGAATTAAAATAATAGTCGTATAATAAATTATTATACTAAAAAAAATTAAGCATCAAAACCAATCTAGCGCGCTATCAGGGTTGCTTTGTGAACGACAATGGTGCCCTCATTTAATTTCTATTTTTTTATGTCGCAATGTAACTTCTGTTAATAATCAAAATAATTTGTGATATCATGGTTTTCCTTTCATTTGATTTATCACGTTTGTTAGAGAGATTTCATCCTTACACTTAAGTCACTTAACCCTTACATTTGATGTATTAAAAATTCAGGGTGTAATTTTTGACAGATTTTATTTCGGTCGATTTCCAGGTGTGGCAAGCAAATTTTTGGAAATCTTTGAATACAGTTCTATTTCATTTCAAAAATAAAGAAATGTTTTCTTTGAGTAAAATTTTCTATCTACAGTATTAAGAGTACTTGCCACAGTTTCCACCCTGTATACAGTGTAAGCACAGTATATAATATGTATGTTATCTACTGTGGTGTAAGTCTTGATAGGACGGTAGGTCTCATAGTGATATCTGTGAGAATAAGTCTCTAGGTAGTTTATAACGGGGAGGTCCCCTAGCTAAGCGTCCACTTGTCGGTACCGTACGCAACGAACGCATCGTACGAAACACATAGTATCGGATGTGCGATGCGTACGATGCGGACAGGTGGACGCACTTATATGAATTTTCATATAAATAATGCTACGATCCGTTGCGTGCGATACGTCCGATGCGTACGATACCGACATGTGGACGCTTAGCTTTACGGCTCCGCCACTAATTACCAGCCATCCTGTATAAATGTACAGAATAAAGCATTTTTAGTTTTTAAAAAGAAAAGCGTTAGTAACTAAATTAATACGTCTCGTTATTTTTTTGGTGGACCCCTCTTCACGAATTATTGTCTATGATGATCATAGACTTTTGGGATATTATGTGGCAGTGTTGGCAGCAGTGCACTTCCTGTCGTGTCTATGCCTGTGACGCTGCCATTTTGATTTTGAAACGGCAGTGCTTTTTGTTCGTGTGGAGCGTTTGCTCGTTGTGAAGAGTAGATTGTGATTTAGCAAAGTAGTTTTATTTTTAATTGAACTTTATCAAAATGAGCTGGCAAGATTATGTCGATAAACAGTTAATGGCATCCAGATGTGTAACAAAAGCAGCGATTGCCGGTCACGATGGAAATGTCTGGGCCAAGTCAGAAGGTTTCGAAGTAAGTTTCTCGCAGTTTTGGCTTTACGTGGTCAGTGATTGAAAGATCCACTCTAGTGCTCATGTGTTTAAAGTGTCTAGAAATTGTGAACAAAGTGCATTTTTATACAGCAAAAGGATGACGAATTTTATCCGGCAAGTTTGACAAGATGGCGACATGTGGTGGCTGGCAGAGGGTGGCAGCAAATTTGGAATACTCCAACTCATTTTAGATTGACTTCTAAACTTCGAACCGCTGAATTCTTCAACATGCAATTTTGAATTGTGTTCAGGAATCTAATATTTCAGTAACATTTTATTGCTTGAGACCCCTATTTTGCCGGCCGGTGATATCGCAGGAACAGGTTGTAGATCTTCATTGTTCAAATTCAGTTATGTTAGTTTATTATTCTACAAATCCCTCATCTAAGTTTATGATGTAGGTAGGTAGATTTTCTTATTGGTTACATTATTAATCTTATTAAAATTCTATTTGATCCTACATAGAAATCTCAGTCAAAAGCAACCGGATCTCCCAATCTCATTGGTCCAACACTGTATGCTTTACTTATTGGCTCATATTTTTCTAAAATTATTAAAGTATGGGTTCTTAGATCTTTGTCTAAACCTTTCACTATTAAAATGAACCTAACCAGATAAAAGACCCTAAAGTCTAGGGCCTTGTAAGTACCTAGATTATCATGAGGTTAAATTAACAAAAGTTAATAACAAGTTAGTAGTATCACATTTGGATTTTTTGTAATACGGTATTACATAATTTGTTTTACCTAAATTGAGAAACAAACACATTTAGGTACAAACCTAAATAACTATTTCCAATACCTGCATGTTAGTAATATTACATTAATATGATTTAATACACAAATAAAGCTAGATCCCAGCAAATAACAATCTTCTGAAAATTGTTTGATTGTGTAAATGTCTTTAACTTAGCAATTCTCTAAATTAGTGCCCTAACTACCTGCCTACTGTAGGTATTATATTTAGTATTTCACAATCCTTATACAAAATAGACAATAGAATAAGATTATCCAGGAACTATTGTTTCTTATTTGCCTCTGAATCACACACATCTGATCCCAGCCAAGCAAGTAGGTAGAACTTACAATAAAATACATAGATACAATAATATAAAAACTACCAACACGAACATGGAATGCAACTTTGCTTTCTCTTCTGGTTATCCAAAGTTATCCTCTCGCATTAGTACCTAATTCTTGACTTTATCATGAAGTTAAAGCCTCTTGGATTTTTCTGCTGGTTATCCAAAGTTATCCTCTCTCATTAGTTCCTAATTCATTTCACCTTTGAAGGCTTAAGCTTACCCAATGTAGGATTAGATTACTCATCTCTAACTGTGATCAGTTCTGATTATGATGAATGTTGACCAATTTCTGTATTATTATTATTATAAGAATGCATTCATGTATCATTTAGTATTATGGGATTCTCATAAATGATTAAAATACTTATTATGTTTATGAAATACTGTGCGATATTGTATGGTCATAAAAGTCCTATTTTACGACAAAAATGTCTTGTTTGGTGTGCTGTATACTGTACCAATGACTTCTGCGAACTTTTAAAATATAGGTATAATTATGTAGGTATCAAACCGGTGCAGCCGATGTATTTTTAAAACATTTGAATAGTCGAATATCTTATACGCCTGGTGCAGGCGACGTATTATTGAAGCATTACAATTCCAATAAAACTTATACGAATTTTCATAAGTCATTACATAAGGTTCGTGTACCAATTGGATTAAAATGCTATAGGTACCCTTCCATTTTCAATGACGCGTTTTATTTTCTGTTTTTGCTTGTATGGTATTGCCACTATTGTTGAGGGTTCGAGGATATATATCAAGGGATATATATCAAGATATATATCGGATATATATCCGATATATATCAAGCCGGTTTTCATGATATATATCAACTTTTAAAATTTGTTACTGTATTTGTACTTTTTGACATAAGATTTTTATTTTTTTAGTTGATTTTGCCGTATTTCAAAAATATTTTATGTTTTTGCTTTATTTGTCTGATTTTAAGTTTTAAAAACATTAAAAACATGTTTATGTAACACATATGCAATAGTATTCATGAATAATACAATAAAATAATACTATGGCTTTCATACAAAATTGATATATATCAAAGTTGATATATATCGGATATATATCATAAATATCCGATATTTTGATATTTATAATAAATATCGGATATTTTCGAACCCTGCTATTGTTGATCAATAACAATATCACGGCCTAAAAATTACTACACAATTGGTTCTGTATCTACTTTTGTTTTAAATTTACTGAGACTGATGACTGAGAAACTAAACATTGTAAGGCTGAGTTGCACCACCTTACTTTGACGGTACCTTTAATGATAACCGAGGTTTTTTGTATGGAGTTTGACAGATTTTTGACGTTTGTTAAAGTAAGATGATGCAACCCCAACCCAGCCTGACAGTCACAATTTACCTACTCAACTTTGTTGAATTTCAGTTTAGTCTGTGAAAAATTCTTTGGTCTATTTTGAAATTGGTCGAAACTGTTTAGCTAAACTAACGCTCGTATTCACAAACTTTACTATGAGGTCTCACAGTGCGCGTGGACGCACAGCGTGGCACATGAACCAATCACAGAGCTCTATTCAACGCTGTGCATTCGATTTGCTGCTTCTCATGAGCAAGTATCGTTTATGAATACGGGCGTTAAGACACCTATGTCTATCTATGCCTACGCGTTTTTAAAATTGACCATCTATGTTATGATTGCGCGCGATTAGTTTTTTCCAAGAGTGATTAGCGAAAAACATTATTCTAAGTTAAATAAACAAAACCTTCAATTCGCGTCAAGGATAGGCTACTGACAATGATTAAAACAATTTACGTTGGCGACGTTTCATCAAGTTTAGATAATAAAGTTGCCTAGAATAACAAGTGTTGTTCACTATGTAGTTAAATTCGTTTGCATTCAAATTAATATTGACATTAAATAGGTTCGTAATCTTCGTAACATTGTAGGTAGGATACAAATAATATGAAACAAAATAATATATTAAATTTATGTTATCAGAGCCCCGATTACGGTAATTTTTAACTTCTCCAATACAGACGCGCTTGCAGAAGCTGACGTCAGCTGTTTTGACCAATCCGTATCGCAGAATCGAAGAAAACGAAGAAACGCGTCTGTATTGGAGACGTTAAAAATTAGCGTAATCGGGGCACAGGAAACCTTTTAACTATATCAGACTCATCACTATTCTACCTCCCTGACTGACGAGCATTCGCGTGTAATGTGACATTATAGATTTGACTTTGAGAGTATTCACGTGTGATTTAATTAATTGATATGTTACGGCTAAAGATAGATGTGAACATAAACTTAAGATTAGCCGGCTAAACTTAAGTTTATCTTCGACGAGGTGTTAATGTTACTTTCTTCTATCTTTAGCCGGCTAAACTTAAGTGTAACCGCAGGCCCTTGGCTAAAAATGTAGAAGGAAATGGAAAAGGAAACAGTGTAATAATGTTTACTATTTTGACACGAAAACTTTATTAAAAATAATCACTTTCATTACACATGCTTTTATGTACCTATGTAGGTATTCAAAATGACAATTATTACAATAACAAAATATTAATTACTTAAAACAATATCTAGGTACCTAATCATTAAAATAAAATAATAAGGAACCATTTGGTCATTACAGAATCTTCTGTAGGTAGGTATTTAAAATTACAAAATAAAACAAAATAAAACTTCTTCAGTGTTAATTACTTAAAACAATATCTAGTCACAATTGTTAAATAATATGGAGCTATTCGTTGTCTCCCCACCGCCCCCTCAAGCCCTCCGCCGGCCTGGCGCGCCCATCGAATACATTTTTAGCCGTATCGTTTTGGCTAATGTGCACATTAGCCGGCTAAAGATGGAATATCACGACGCAAACTAACATGTTATCGAACTTTAGCTGCTTCTCGAAGCTAAACTTAAGTTTAGCCGGCTAATCTTAAGTTTATGTTCACACATATCTTTAGCCGTAACAGATACATTACAAGGTGCGCATTGTAATGCTCGGTTCTTCTCTTTCGCTGATGTTTTCTCGTTTTTTTATATTACTAGGTACGCGTTGTAATGGTCGGTTTTACTCATTACCTCAGTAAAGCTCGAAACTGTAACGTTACATTTCACGCGAATGCTCCGGTGAGGGAGCACCTTTACTTCATTCTNAAAAAAAAATTTATTTACCTTATCGAAAACAGATGACTGTCTCTTCGCTGACATTTTGTTCGCGACTGACAGATACAGTGTTGCGAACGTCAAAGTTCACTTTCTACAAACTTTTTTCAGAGGTTATAAAAAAATAATATTGTAGAATAAAATAAAAATAACATTTACAACACCCCCTACTTGGTTTCTAAAGTTAGTGTCCGCCCTACCGGACAAATTCAAATTAAGGGTTAAAGAACATTTTTTTCCGTCAATTCCGTCATGAACAGGTTCGTCTAAAAACCAATATCTCCTTATTACAAAAAAGTTAAACCCGGGACGAACACTGGTTTCAAATGACATTTCCATACTAAATGTCAATTTAAACCAGAGTTCAACCAGAGTGCAACTTTTTGTAATAAGGCCTTGTGTGTCTAAAAATATTGCCTAGGTTCGAAATGATACGATTCGGTTTGTATGAACAATGATTCCTGACGAACACTTCCTAAGAACTTATTTGATTAGCATTAATATATCACAGTGATACTGAGGTTTTACTATAACCNATTTCAAATTCAGCACTTGCAAATTTTTAAAATTGTGGCTATTTTTAAAGGACTGGGGTGTGTCACACCCCACCTCGTACAGCGAGGGTTAAAGACAACCCGTTGCAGCAAGCTCTCAAACCGAACTAAACTTTTCAGTGGGGTCTCTGGCGCTCCCATAGTTTAGAAACGCTGACTCGGCGCGACAGCGGCGGGTCAGCCTTATTCTAT